AAAAAAAAAAAAAAAAGTTTTGCTTCTAGACTTACAGAAAAAGGAGAAATAAATTCTAACTCTAAATTCCATGGTAATATGTCCAAGATGGGAGTTAACATGAATTTTTAGCCCACCCACTTTGGAGAAGGCAAGAGCAGAACTCAAGAATGATTTTGATGAAATTTGGAAAGAATAAAGGATACCCTGTTAATTCAGCATTCTATATGTCAAATAAAATTTAAAAGAGCAGATAATATATTATACATGTGGAAAAATATTTTAACTATTATTTTTACATGTATATCTAGTCAAAATGAACAAAGCTTAACATATAAAAACAGCTATTTTATTGTTTGTTTGTTTGTTTGTTTGTTTTTGGTACTGGGGATCGAACGTGGGTCCTTGCAGGCAGTAGAACCACTGAGCTAAATCCCCGGCCCAAAAAACATAGATTTTTAAGTTTGAAAAATAATATTTCAAATTATTTTAATAAAAAAATACATTTGTGTGGTAGTAGACAGAAATGGCTGTTTTTATACCACTAAGATCTATGCTTTGTATTGTGTGTTTTAAGCACTGTATAATATGTCCTGTGCAGTTTCTATATGCTACATACTGCTCCATACGTTGGTGGCATAAACCTTTATCTCTGACTCTGAGAAGGTTAAAAGAACATTGAGGGGTGTAAACTAGGAACCAGGTAATTATTCACAGCCTGACAAGAGTTCCCTGTGACTATGATGGAGAGGGCAAAGTATTAAGGATAAAGACATAGGAGTTTGAGCCGGGTGTGGTGGTGCACACCTGTAATCCCAGCACTCGGGAGACTGAGGCAGGAAGATCGCTGTGAGCTCAAGACCAACTGGGCTACATAGTGAGCTCCAGTTCAGTCTCAACTACATAGTGAGACCCTGTCGCAAAAAACCAAAAAAAAAAAAAAAAAAAAAAGGAGTTTTAGTTGCAACTCTATCAATTACAACAAAAAAAAAGCAGATCATTCTCTTTCTTGGATCAGTCTTCTTGTCTCTGAGGTGACAAAGACAGAATATATGATATCAAATGTTCTTCTGGGCTTAAGACATTTGCAGGTTCTACAAATCAGAATGCTAAATTTTTACTGAAAGGAGGTCAATGCAGGACCACAGTGCAGGACTTTTCAAGAATTATGTATGTCCTTCTATGCAAATTTTCCTAAGACTTTATAAGAATATTTGATCTATAAATGAAATCACCTGTCCTATTACCTGAGAAGTGGGGCTTAAAAAAATGAAGTTCTCTGACTCTAAATAAAAATGTAAAAAAATTAATTTCAGCTATAAAAATAATAGGAGACTATCTAAAGGCCTTAACCATAAGCTGAACCCTTAATCTGAGAAGGCCACAGCTGGGAAAGAAAATCAAAATAAAGCAAAATAAAAGGGCATTTCATGGCTGCCATCCACAAAGAGGAATGCTGCACAAAGCATGGCATCGGGCACCTTGGGCGCTGGCTAACTATTCCCGGTGATCTCAGTCCCCCAGCGTCAGACTGAACTGGGGCACAGCTCCTAACCTGAGAAAACAGAGAAAGTAGCCTACTTGTCCTGCAGTTTCTGTACTGTATTTCCCCAAAAGTAAGACCTAACTGGAAAATAAGCCTTGGCATGATGTTTCAGGATGCCTGTTAATATAAGCCCTACCCTAAAAATAAGCCCTGGTTAAGATCATCGGCCAGACCCATTTAGTACATCCATCAAATTATAAAATAATATTAATATATAATTGAATACAAATAAGTATTATTGACATTAATACTTAAAATAAATGATCATATAGTTAGTTATGGTTAATTATTAATTACAGTTAAGCATTTATAAATACCCAAGGAGGCGCTTTTAAATAAGAGGTAAACCGCTGTGTAACCAGATGAACTTGTGACTTACTGAATGATCCATCAGGGCACAGACACGACACATAAATAACGTGAGTACTTGATAATCATGGTTGTGCCTGATATTAATCTTCCTAATTCAGGACAATGTGTGTTATAATGGACACACTCAATGCTTTCTTGTAAAAAGAAACATTTTTTGAATTTGGTGCCTATTTTTCATCACTTTTGTGGGAGCCATCATTCTTAACATTCATTTTTTGTTGTCACTTTTGTCTTATAAGTCTTCAATTAACAGTTGATTTAATGGAAACTGTGAAGTCTAGGCCACACGAGGTCATGACTTGGGTGAAGAATTCATGGAATAAAATAACTGACAGCTATGTGGTTAATGCACTACAACCGGCCTAATGGAGAAGAAGTGCTGATTTAAGGAGAGCTCTATGGCTGGACGTAAGAGATTGGGGCCAATGGTTCTACAGGAAATGAAGTCGCAAGAAATTCTGACTGGAATTTAGGGTTTGGGGAGTTATGATGATGTTCCAGAGGAAGATGACATGATTCTATTTGAATAAATGTAGATTTCTGTACATGAATAAAGATTGCTATACATGAAAAAACAAGCCATACACTAAAGATATGCCCTATTGTATCTTTTAGAGCAAAAATTAATACAAGACCTGCTCTTATTTTGTGGGACATATAGAATATAGCAAAAAATTTTAAGAGCCTTACCAAAAGAAATAAGGAAAGTTGGGAAAGGAACTTCTTTTAGCCAAAGAAGGATGTATCTTCTCCTTTTCATGTCCTAGATGTTTACATTCTGGTTTCAATTTGAACTGCTCTTTTTCAGACTGGAGGAAGGAACATTTCAAGCCTGGTGAGTGGTCATGACTTTTTTGTCTATCTTTTTGTTTCCTTTCCAACCTGCCCTTCTATAGTCATATTTTCTCTTCCTAATTCCAACTTCCAGTTGAAAAGAGAGAGGCACTATTATTCTGGCAAAAACAAAACAAAACACAAAAAAGAATATGAACATTATTAAGTACTAGACTAAACTTGACATTGCTGCTAGATTTAGCTAGTCTGGTTGTGTCTCTCTCTACCTTCACATACTGTCCCAGCTTTTCTTCTGTCTGTGGGTCCACTTGGTTTTGAAAAGAGAAATTAGCATAGTCCCTCAGCTGAGGAGACCACACATTAATTGAAAAGTGCTTCTAACGGCAAGAGCACCCAGCTGCTCTTCTCAAGGAGGTTAGCTTATATATGCAGCCTGTTAATTGAGACATGTTTTAATTTATAGAGAGTAAGGAAAGAACAGTATTCTCAAGTAATTACTGAAAGTCCTGGCTTGCCCTGGTTGGGCTCAAACAGTGACTAACAGTAGCATAAGTAAAATGAAACGGAACAAGGAGTCTAGAGTCCATGATGAGAGTACACACAAACATCACCAGTTCATTATCTGTTTAACATTGTAGTAAATACCTTTTCTTCTTTTTCTTCTTCTTTTAGCTTCTGTAATTCTAAATCACCAAATGACTCAGTCGAACAATTCTGACCCAAAGAGCAAAGAGAACCGCAGAGAAGAAACACGGGAACTACCTCCTAGTGATGAGCAAGGAGATGGCAACCTCATCACACTTAAACAGGAACCCTTCGTGTCAGGAAGACATTACTGGGAGGTGGATGTTGAGAATGCTGCTGGGTGGACCGCAGGCATTTGTGAAGTACACAGAGATGGGAATGGATCATCCAAAGAGCCATCAAGAAAGAAGTTCAGGGTCTTGGTGAAGAAAGGAGATGAATACAAGGCTCTTGCCTGTTGTTCCAAAAGTATTTCTCTAGACACGTATGTCTCAATAGAAAAGTGTCCTCACAAGATTATGCTGTTCTTGGATTATGGGGATAATGACATTTCTTTTTACAATATGACCGATGGTACCCACATCTTTTCCTTCACCCAGTCCAATTTCTCTGGGCTGCTCTATCCTTATTTCAAACTTAGAAGCATGGAGCTCGCGCCATCTGCACAATGTTAAGTGTCTTGAAGAATGATGAGACGCTAGAAGTATAACAGACCCTTTCTAAAAACACCTCAGACATCACAAGGGGCCCTGAGCCTAAGACCCCATGAATCTCCATGACCAGAACTTCTGACGACATAAAGCAGCATTTCACAAATAATCTATGCAGAAGAATCAAGATTGGGTTTCTTTTAAAATTATTTTTGTAACTATTTCTTGCTTTATATCCAGTACATCACTGATTTAGGAAAATGGCATGGAAAAATGAAAAATATACAATTCTAAGTGGCAACTATTTTATTAATTCAACCTAAGTGAAATTACTCTTGTTAACTTGCTCTACACATTTTTAATTGTTTCTATACTCATTGCATAAAGAACCAGTTTTTTTTAAAGGCATATATAGTCATTGGTCTTTCAAATACACTTTGAGCAACATTCCTAAAAATTTTTCAAATAAAAATTAAATAAGCCTCATGTTTCTTGCTGGTTTATATGTGGATGTCCCTCCAAAGCTTCAAGAACTCTTAGGTGGGGCTTTTGATAGGTGGCTGGATCACGGGGGCATCCGCCTATCAGGGGATTAGTACATGGATGGGTCTATGGCTAAATATAACTCTGGAGGTGAAGCGTGGTTGGAGGAGGTGGGTCACTGGGGTGTGACCTGGAATAGTCTGTCTCCCTCCCTCCCTGATCTCCCGCTCCCTCTTCCCCTTCTCCCTCTCTCTCTGGTTCCTGCTGCCATGCCACTAGCTGTTTCTCCGGGCCAAGCTGCCCCGCCTTGGAGCCAGCCAACTATGGACTGAAACCTCCACGAGTTGTCAGCCAAATAAACCTCTCCTTTCTTAAATTGCGGATGTTGGGTATTTTGCCCTAGCGACAAAGAAAGGAGCTAACATATTGCTCAATAACAAAACTGAATTAAAATTACAAAAGTGTGCTATGTTCAATTATTAAAAGAGAAAACACACTATAATTTGACAACAAGCTAAACTGCATCTTAAAGACAAAGGTGACCCTAAAAGGAGTAAGATCAGAGCAGACTAGTGAGGACCTCCAAGCCAACGCGGGGAGCTAGGCTGCTTCCCCACCCCGCAGCGCCCCTGCCTTCATCGGTGAGGACTGCCCAGCCCCGCGGGCAACCCTGCAGCACCCCCGACCTGCCCCCGCCGTGCTCTCGGGCCTCCTGGTTGTGCTGGTACCTGG